TCTCCTAGGCGCAGAGGTCTGCAGGCCTAAGGGATGATGAGGCCACAACTGAGGCAGGACAAGGACATCCTCACAGAGCAGGAAAGATTCCAACCACACAAAAGGAAGAAGAGTCTAATGCCACACACAGGTTGCAGGGAGAGCGATGAATACTCATCACCCTTAAAACTCTTTAAAAAAATTAATTTAAGGTTATGTACCAAGATTTTTTAAAAAATTTTTATTTCATGCACATTGGTGCTTTGCCATGGGTGTCCTGTCCCATGCCATGAGAGTTACAGACAGTTGTAAGCTGCTGTCACGTGGGTGCTAGGAGTTGAACTCAGGTCCTCTGGAAGAGCAGTCAGTGCTCTTAATGGCTCAGATATTTTTCTAGCCCCAAGTCAAGTTTTAATTATGGTTGACGAAGGAATAAAAATGTTTTTGAACATATAAGTCAAATCCATTTACAAGAAAGTGCTGGAAGCTACAAACTGGCTGGTCTGGAGAGATGGCTCGTGGGTTAATACTGCTTGCTGCCTTTATAGAGCACTAGAGTTTGATTCCAATATGGGGCAGCTTACAATTGCCTGTAATTCCAGCTGCAAAGGATCTGACACCCAATTTGGCAAAATTAGAGAGGGAGGAAAAAAAACTAAGAGAAAGATAAGGGAAACTGATTTTGTATAAAAATGAGGTAATCATTAACTCCAGGAGAAATAAAAACATAGAAGAAAACATGCAAATTAGTTCAGTAATGAGAAACACACTGTAATAAAACTGATAGCCCATCAGTACAATTCTGATGTTTTTATAGGTAGCTGCGAGCTGAGGGTGATGTTACTAAAGGCCAAGCCATCAGTTACTGCTTATGCAGGAAGCCAGCACCTATTGCTCAAAAGCAGGAATTAGAAAGCATCTCATTTGGAAACAGGACTCCAAAAGCTTCAAGGCCACGAGGGGGCAGGGCATAAGAGCAGCAGGTGGTAGGAAGCCAGCAACAGATATGGACAGGGAGGACACTCAGGGAAGGGATGTCCCTGTGACCCAGGAAAAGGAGCAAGGTGGAGGATATGCACAGCGGGACAGGATATGAACTGCAGGCCACACACAGCTCAGAGCTAGTACTTACTCAAGAATGCACACATGCACTTACACAGCATTTCTTTTTATTTGTGTGTGTCTACTAATGTGTATGGGTATCCACAGATGCCAAAGGAAGGCTTCAGTTCCTTAGAGTTATACAATGTTCTAAGCTATTCCACTGAGGTGCTGTAAAAGGAACTCTAGTTCTCTGGAAGAACACTATGGGCTCTCCAGTCCATGCTTCATTTTTATTTAAACTAATTGTCCTCGAACTCACACAGATTTACCTGCTCTGCCTTCCTCTTCCTGCTGCTTACTGATGGGATTAAAGGCTAGGTTGACGGCATTCACCATGTCCTTCTACCTGATTTTTTAAATTGAAAATCGAAGACTATCTGCTGGTGTGACCAAGAAGGGCACAGGCAGTTTAGAGGAACAAATGTAAATCATCTCTCATAACCAGTACCCAAGTGACAGTGAAGCTAACCGTTTAAACTATAGACACAGTTGGGACCGACCACTCTATGGCAGGTATGGCTCTCGGCAAACCCTGCCTTCATGGGGCTTCCCTTTAGCATGAGGGCAAAGGCTGAGGAGTCAGGGCCGCATATGAGCAGGGGTTAGTTAGCTGCCTAGTGCTAGTCAATCTCTGCTGAGATCACAGAACAGCCAGTAGGTTTTATAGTGGGTTTTGGAGACCAAAAAGTTCCCAAATAAAGGGAACTGGAAGAGAAAATAACCAAATTTGCTGCACTTTAGACTCAGTCAGGCTACCATATAGACCAAGTTTTCCTCATTAATTAATGTAATAATGCCATCATTCTGAGACTGTACCAAAAGGAGAAACATCTCAGAGTTTCAGGATGGACCTGATTATAAATCTAACTGATTATATTAGCAACACCAGGCTGCTAATCTTTCCCAATAGCTTGTTTCTTAGTCTCCATTTTCATTAGCATTCACTAGGAATATACCCAAGCCTGAGAGACTCTTCCTTATACTAAACATGAAGCATGTTTAAATATACAGGTAGAAACTCAAAGCTCTTTCTCTAAATTGAAGAAACTGTAAACAGCTAACTTTGCCAAGTGATATCAATTGGTATCAAGGCAAAATACATTAGTTTTTTTATCAAATGAAGGTAAAAAATTACCAATTCTCATTTTATCATTTACCTTGGGGGCGGGGGGGGGGGGAATTGAAACAAGTTACTTTTTATTAGTTCACTCAATGCATCAGCATCTCAATCCCAAACAAACTGCTTTTAAGGAATACATTTGTTTGAAAAGAAAAATGTAACAGAATAACAAGTACTAAAAACAGTGTAACAAAAAGGTAGGTTGAAAACACATGCTTCAAAAGTCATCATATTCTGCCACGAAACCAGAAAGTCTGAATGAAGTGCTGATGCCCCCAGCATTATGAGAGCCTGGAACACACAAGAGATAACAGAGACAGGTGGATGAATAGTGTGCTCCTACTTAATACACAGAATCCCTAGAGACTGAGTAGAGTAAGCCCGCAGCAGTGCAGCAAAGGGAGGAAGAGAATACTCACAGGAAAAGTCTCTGGTTGAGAATAATGAAAAACTATGAGGCACAGGCCATGGAAATGAGTACACATGCCTCAAGTCCAGCACTCAAGAGGCTGATTTCAGTTATGAGACCAGCCTGGGTTACACAATGAGAGGGTGTGCCTCAAACAACCAACAAACACCCAAAGTGATAATTTAGCTCAAGATAGTGGCACACATACACATAATTCCAGCTACAAGGGAGCCAAGGCAGTATCAACAAGCCTGAGGCCAATAGGGGAATTCAGCAAGAGCCTTCTACTTAAAAAAACAAACAAACAAACAAACAAACAAACAAACAAAAACCCAAAAACAACAACAACAAAAAACCCTACTGAATTTTAAATTCTTTAATATACAACTAAGTAAACTGAAAATAGGGTAAACATTTTCTCAGTGTCTGTTTCACATGAATGCCATCGTTTCATACCTGAATTTACCAGGGTTCTAAGGGAGGACATTTCAAGAATGATCTCTGACATTTTGAATGCTTTTGAATTCTGCCTCACATCCTTTCTGGTACAATACACAGTGGCACAGTCCATGCAAGGAAATACCTGGCACAGCATACACCATGGGGGGTGGTCAGAGTTAAAAAAAAAAAAAAAAGAAAGAAAGAAAGAAAGAGAAAACTGGAGAAAAAGGCACAGAGAAGGCAATCCTCGTCAGTCTGCTCAAGCAGAAACTATCTGTGCACCAACTGATCAACTCAGAGGCAGGGGCAAGCTCTGCATCATGGTTATGGTGGACACTGCTGCTGTGGACAAGGTGGCAGAGGTGTGCAACTGAGAAATTACATGTATAACTTCAACTCTAACTTTGACTTAATTTCTTAAGGACATCCAAACAAGATCAAATGCTGAGGTATAGGTATTCAGACTGTGGGTGCCTGTATTATTCCCATCATTCATTACATTGCTACTAGTGTTTTTACTGTTAAATATATAGACTATTTTTAGCCCAGGTTCCTACATATAATAACAGAACTGAGAGGTTCTATTTATATAATGAGCTTTTTGTTTTTGTTTTTCGAGATAGGGTCTCACTGTGTAGCCTTGGATGTCTTGAAACTTGTTCTGACCTCAAACTCGGAGATCCACCTGCCTCTGCCTCCTAAGTGCTGGGATTAAAGACTGTGTGCCACCACCGCCTGTCCTAAACAGCTTTTATAAACAGCTGTTTTTGTTGTTGTTTTGTTCTAGATACCCTGAGCAAGGCAATTAAAAGAGAAAAATAAAACCTTAAGTAAGTTTAAACATGAAAAAGTAGCAGCCTAGAACAGTTTACAAAAGCCAGTATGCCTTGGAAAGCAGACTGTCAACCCACAAAATTCACAGGAGATCTGCCACCTTTTAGCTGTTACCCACCGGCTGGCTTTTACCTCCTTATCACTATAAAATGAAAAGTACCTTAGTGTTCAACAAAATAAAAGCAAAAGACCTCTTCAATGGCAACCCCATCTTAATCCACAGGTGACACATGTTAACTAACTGCCAGAGCCATCCTAACCTGGGCATTAACCACTTTTTATACAGGCTCAATGACTGGCAAATGCTGTCACTCAGCATTCGCATTGCTTTCACCAAGCACAGACCCCTCTAACTAGTTATACATTATGACCCACCCAGCTCACTGCTTCACTGCCCTTAGGCTCTACAACTGCAAAGTACCTCTTGGTTTTCACCAGCACATTTCTGTAAGACTCTTATACACTGAACCACAGGGTTGAATACCTTTTATTTCATTTATTTACTACTACTTATCTAATTATTACCTGCCACCCCCCTTACCAAGACAGGGTCTCACTGTATAGCACTGGTTGGCCTAGAACTCTCAAAGTTGACCTTGAACTCAGTGAACTCTGACTGCCTCTGCTTCCCCCCAAGTGCTGGGATTAAAGGCATGTGCTACCATGCCTGACTGGGATCTCACCTCTTCAAACAGTTGCCAACTGACCTCTAAAACATAAGCAAAGAGAGACTCTAGAATGCTAAGCAGTGGACGAATGTAGTTGTTGGAGAAGTGTCACTATGGGGGCAGGCTTTGAGGATTCCTATGCTCAAGATACCACCCAGTGTCTTAGTCAACATCCTGTTGCCTGTAAAATGTACGACTCTCAAATATGTCTGCCTGCATGCCACATGCTCCTCACTGTAATGATAGTGGATTGAACCTCTGAAACTGTAAGCGAGTCACCCCAATTAAATGTTTTCTTTATAAGGGTTGCCATGGTCATGATATCACAGCAATAGAAACCCTAAGACACATATACAAAACACAGTGCAGCAACCATGAAGGATGACTGGGATTAGAAATGAAGGTAATCTAGCACATCTGAGCACAGACAGCTGGTATAACACACCTGGACAGAACTCCTGGCTGGAACACCTGCAGCTCTGCAGCAGCAAAGAATGACCTGATGACTCTTCCTGGGAATCAATTTCTTCACATGTGAAATGATATTAAGGCATCAATTATAGCTCAAAGGTTGTGGCTTGGATTTTATGAGCCAAACACAAAATTTTCTGGCGAGAGAACTCAAATCATACACTAATAATCAAGCCACAAACAGAATTTAGGAGTTCATGAGAAGAGCTGCTGCTTATAAATACATTAAATCATAAACAGGTAAGTTTAAAGAATGGTTGAGAACACACACAGTTGATTACAGGTGGAGACCTAGGAAGGATTCCAAGAAAGTGGGAGAACCAAGAGAGGCTTCATTGTTTAGCCTTTCTGCAGCTCCCCCATTTGGTTTTCTATATAATAACACTATATTTTTGTGTTTTGGGACAAAAAACAATAAAATCTAGCAAGACCAAAAAATATGTGGTTGCTCTTCAAACCTGTCAAGGTCCTGGTCATTCTACTGTTAACAACTTCCTCAATGGCAGTGGTCTTCACTGTGGAACCTTCGGTGGACCAAAGGGTCAAAGCTGTATTGACAATGACACAGATCTGTGATCTGCTGGACCAATGTCGTCCTCTGTGTGGATGAGCAGAGGCCACAGGAAGCCAGGCCAGCACCATGCTGCAGTAGCATTCCTCAAGTTCTGCAGGATATCCATGCGGCAAAAGACAAGGCGAAGAGCAAGTTTTCTTACGACTGTCCCCAACAAACACTGGAATCACTGACTTGACTTGCTACCCATCTTGTAGCCAGGCTTTTCAGTGTTTTCACAGAGCCAGTCTGTTGCTTCTATATGCACAGCTGTCTCCAGGAAAGGTACCTCATTGCCATTGTTTTCACAGAATGCTATCTTCATTTGGAATGGCTTACATTGGTCATTCGGACTTTGACAAGTGGTAGATTTTTGAAAATGAGAAAAGCGAGCCTCTTAAGTTATGAATAAAATCGGTTGTCAATAATAAAATCCAGGTATTCAAGAACACATTAGACTTTGGGGGAGCCCATTATCCACTGCTGCTGCTGACTACTTACCCTTGTTGAGAAGTTGCTATCTATGGTAGCATTAACAAACACAATTTTCTTGGGTCAAATATAATGAAAAATCTTTAAAAATCAGAATAGCTCCATGCACTATAAATTATGGAGCCTGATATTACAGGGTACAACAGATCTCTGATGGCCAGGTGGAAGACGCAGGAGGATCTCTGCCTCAAAAAAACAGAACACAACAAAACAAAAGAACTGCTGGTCCAGATCCCAAGGTGCAGCTAAAGAACAAAGCCCCAATTAAGGAGCAGAACACCCACCATTCCCCGGAAAGAGTAATTACCTCTCTCCCCCTCCCTCCCTCTCCTCTTTCTCTCTCTCTCTCTCTCTCTCTCTCCTCCTTCTCTCTCTCTTTCTGGTTTTTCGAGACTGGGTTTCCCTGTAGCTTTGGAGCCCATCCTGGCTCTTGCTCTGGAGACCAGGCTGGCCTCTGCCTCCCGAGTGCTGGGATTAAAGGCATGCGCCACCAACGCCTGGCCTGCTTCTCCATTTTCTAACTACAGTTTGAGGCCAAATTTCTTCACAAACTTCAACAAACCTGTGAGAGACCCAACCTGGGAACAGATCTGAGGATCAGCTGTTTCTTAATAAGCCATTTAAAGGAATTGTTAAGTGTAAGACAACAGCATTCTTTTCACTAAACCTGTTTCATAAAAATTGTTTTTCGGGAGCTGGAGAGATGGCTCAACGGTTAAGAGCACTGACTGCTCTTCCAGAGGTCCCGAGTTCAATTCCCAGCAACCACATGATGGCTCACAACCATCCCTAATGAGATCTGGTGCCCTCTTCTGGCCTGCAGGGACACATGCAGACAGAACACTGTATACATAATAAATTAATCCCAGCATTCATGAGGCAGAGGCAGGTGATCTCTGTGAGTTCGAGGCCAGCTTGGTCTCCAGAGTGAGTGCCAGGATGGGCTCCAAAGCTACACAGAGAAACCCTGTCTTGAAAAAACAAAAAAAGTATTTCAATAAAGAGTAGCATATGTATTTATTTTACAGTGAAAAAAACTTAATGCCTATATATATAATAAGGTCAGCAAGGTATATCCTAAAGGTAACTCTGGCAGCAGCAGGGCTGTTCATTTTGATGAGCTGTAGCTACTCTCCCTCTATGAAGATGGTTTGAGGTCAGTAGGTAAAGGTTTGTACCCACATCTCTGCAAAATGCCTTCCCATGTGTCCCAGCTTTCTGTACTTGGACTAGCATCATGCTGCTGAGACAAGCCTTATGCAGACACCGGGCACCGTCAAAGTCCATACAAGTGTAAGGACAGTCCAGAGTGCAGAACCTGAACTATTTACCATTTGGCTCTTTGTAGAAAAGTGTGCAAATTCCTGAGAGTTTGACTTTTTCCATAGAACCTGTGGTCCTTGACCCACAATCATTCTCCAAAGGCCAGGGTGACCTTCATACAGTTACAGTGTTGTCACTCCTGCTTAGGACCTTCAGCTCATAATCACTCATAGCACAGTTCAAAGCCCTTGGCATGGGATTCAAGGGCTGTAGCTTATTATTAGCTGGGCTGGGCTGGCCTGCTCTCAGGGCATTCCTGCTCGCCAAGGACCAAGTCAGGTTCTCTTACTTTTCAGAAAGTCACTCTTCATGTATCTCTCCTCAAAGCACTCAAGTCACATGTTCCCTTCTTCCCTTTTTGTCATGCCCTTCCACCTCTACCCTCCCCTGGGCAGTGGTCATTTCTCTCTGGTTCTCCACAAGGGATGCAATGCCCTATCCACTGACAGAATTTCATTTCTGCACTTCCTAGTCCAAGCCTTTCAGTGCACTGTGCCGACTTCTTTAGCCCTGTATCACTATTCCTTTTCCATGCCTCCCACAGCAAGCAGCACAGAGTCAACTTCTTTATGTTGTACCCTAGGTACCACCAGCCATGTCCTTGCTTGCCAGAGCTTTCTGGTTTCTCTGGAATTTCACCATCAACTCTGTAATGGTCATAGGTAAAGCCCCCACTTTCTAGATGGGGAAATAGAAGTATTCTGCTAAGCTGACACAAACTACTAAAAGGATGGAAACAGAGTTTGTACCTACATCTCTGCACAATGCCTTTCCATGTATCTTGCCTTTTTGTATTGACTGGCATCAAGCTGAAGAGACAAGCCTAACACATGACGTCAAGTAAAAGGACAGTCCACAGCCAGTTATGAAGAGCAGCTAGAGCGGGGATCTACCAACAAGGTGCAATCTGATGGAACAAGGATCAGTGGCCTGTTGAGAATAGACAGGAATCAAAAAGAATAATCCTGAACAGGAAAGAAACAGGAGTAATGATGCAAAGATGGCAACATCACAAGATAACACTGAAAAAAAAAAAAATAAGATGCCAGGTCCAGAAGACAGGATTCAGTAGACTGCTGAGGTAAAAAGCAATCTCCAAGCCCGGCGTTGGTGGTGCACGCCTTTAATCCCAGCACTCGGGAGGCAGAGGCAGGTGGATCTCTGTGAGTTCGAGGCCAGCATGGTCTACAGAGCGAGTTCCAGGATAGGCAATTATTTAACATCCAGATTAGTACTTTAACCTGCAACAAAAGTACTGCACCCTTTTTGATCATAAATCTTTTTGGTGTGATTTCTAGATGATAAAGGCTCAGCAGGGGCCCTCACATCTGGTAACCCTGAACCCAGCCAGGATCTCCCTCCAAAGAAATCTTCACATCAAGGACTAAACACATGGTGTTCAAGGATGAAGAACTGCAGGGATCTTGGGGAGAGGCAGTGTCTGATTTTTCCTTCTCAGCTGAGTTCCACTGCAAACTTACTACTACTACTACACTTACTTCACTGAAGTTCTCCCTGACACACTTTCCTACAGGCAAAATAAAAATGCTGCAACAGAGTGCAGAACTCCAATCCTAACACATAAAGATTGTGACTAATTATCCATTCCTTGATACATTCCCCACATTTAACTATCCATGAAATGAGACTTTATTTATTTATTTATTTATTTATTTATTTATGGTTCTGAGACAGGGTTTCTCTGTATAAGTGTCCTTCCTAGCTGGCCTGGAAATCAGAGATTTGCCCACCCCTGCCTCCCTAGTGGCCTGGGCGGCCACTGCTGAGATGTATTTTTACATTCAATGAAACACAGTTACTTCCTAACTTCCCTTCATTTTATTACTTTCTGGGGTTTGTTTCTTTCAAAAATACCACCTGAGTCCTAAGGAGGGCTTATTTTTTTTTAAATATCTTTTTTTATACCAGATTACCCATCTTCCCAGGTTACTTATTATATAATCCCCAAGGTTCACCCTGAAGTTAAGAACATAGAATTTTAGTTTGACTTTGTATTATTTCCTTAGATAAAAAATAAGGTTAAAGTTGAACTTAAAGCAATAAATTATCTCATGGATTAATTAAGAAATGACAGAGCTGGCAAAATGGCTCAGTGAACAGGCACTTGCTACCAAAATTGAGGAAGCAGAGTTTAATCCCTGGAACCCACATGGACCACTCCCCTAATATATTTGCTCTCCAAATACAAAAGATAAAAAAGAATCAGATTATCCAATCCAAGTGGTCAATCCTAAACACACATACATATATGCAATACTACTATAGGTTGTATTTACTCTTCCTTGTGTATATGGGTGTGCATTTGTAACAGTAATAAAGAAAAGAGGTCAAGAATCTGAGAGGTAGTGGGGAGATACAGGAGGAATTCAAAGGGGCCGAGGAAGATGTAGAAATGATATAAAGAAAGAGAAGTTATTACAACAAAACTATTAAACACAAAGAGAAGACATTTAAAATCTCAAGTTCTGAAATGGAGGAACAAGCTGTTATCCTGCTGGTTGACCTTGTGATACCAAGCTCAAGACTCTCCTTCACGAGTTCCCTTTCTTCAAAACAAAAGGGAGAGGCCCTCAGGCTCCCTGAGTGAGCTGACAGCAAGCTTGTTTGTTTGTTTTATTGTTTTTAGAGACAGGGTATCTCGGTGGCTTTGGAGGCCTTCCTGAAACTAGCTCTTGTAGACCAGGCTGGTCTCCAACTCAGAGATCCACCTGCCTCTGCCTCCTGAGTGCTGGGATTAAAGGGTGTGCCACCTACGCCCGGGCTATACCTGAACTCTCTTCACTACTGACACTGACCTTGTTTTATCTGATAAGTGCAATCCCCTCCCCATTTATTTCAAGACGGTTGTTCTGTGTTGTCTTGGCTATTCTGGAACTCCCTGTGTAGACGGGATGGCCTCAAAACTCAGAGATTATCCTGCCTCTGCCTCCCAGAGTGATGGGATCAAAGGTGTGCAACACCATGCCAGACTTATATAAGCATATATTTTTAAAGCATGCTGTTTTCTGTGGCATTTTAGTTCAATGGCTAGTGGTACAATCTCTACTAACAGAAAGCTGGATTCCACAGGGGCTTCCCCAGGACTGGCTAAAACTTGTTACTAGAGCAGCAAAGCACACATAGGATTTGGAAATGGGCAGCATAATTCTGCTCACATCCTCACTTTGTTCTAGTGTGGCTATGGAGCTGAGTTGACCACTCTTTGTGCCTTGTTTATGCATCTGAAACTGGAATTGTAGCCTTTCAGATGGGTAAATGTAATATTCACTGGCATGGGTAGTGCCCCTGCACCATTTCTGGCACACAAAAGCATTCAATAATGTTAGCTGTCACTGCTTTTTGTCTGGATCCTCTGCAAGGCCTAGGAAAGTGGAGGTAACAGCCAGACTTTAGGCTTGAGGACTCAGTGTACAAACATGCAACAGTTTGTAATGTCATAGAATATTCACCTGCAGGAAGCATGTTCAGGGATAGAGAGCAGGAGGTGGTGTTAGTCACTGTACATCTTGACATCTGCCCAAATAACTAACCCAAAGCACTGCCTAAAGCGCTTTGTCCCTTCGTTTGCCATTTTGATTCCTGCTTCCTAGTCTACTCTCCAACAGGGAGCCAATCACGACTGTCAGCCACTCTTACATCTGGCCATCAGCAGGAAAATTACTAGTCTCCCTGTGTGCCCAGCTTGCTCCCATTTGCAGGTATATGGGACTCACTGACCACACAATGAAACCATTACTTTGAAGCAGAAATGGTGAACTGACTCACAGCAAGATCTAATTCTTATATACATAAAAATAATCAAAGTTTGCACAGTTCAATATTGTACCAGGGGTTATTAGGTTAAAAATATGAAACTCAAACACAAACAAAAGACTTTTTCATCTTGCTCTGCCTGGCTTGCCTATTTACACCCTGCCCTCTGTCCCCCATGCCTCTGGGTACTGCCTGCCAGGTCAGAAGACCTCAGACTTAATCTCTAGGACACACCTGACTGCCTAGGCCCAGGACCGCAGAAGCAGAAAGACAAACCAGGAGCAGAGCTACATGGAATTTTGCAGAGCTGAACAAAAAGCCTCACAAGCTACAAGTTTCAACAGATAAATTTTTCCATACCTCAAGTTCTCAAATCCAGGCATCAGCGCATGAAATAAACCCCTTGCAATGACACCTTCTAATTATCTCTCACCAACATTTCTTCTTCAAGTTTGAATTTGGATAGGACTGGGGTAGTGATTCTTGTTGCTACAACAAGTCCTAGTTGCCAATGACTGCCTTTGCCTTTTCAAACCACTGATACATCAAACATTACCACCATTCTGCCTGACAAAAATGATTAAATTATAAATGATGGATTAAGAAATAAGTGGGTTAAAACAGAAAACTGTGAACACATACAATTAAAAAGAAAACATACAAAAGACTTGCAAAATAAAATTTTAGATATACTCAAAAGTTTTACTTAAAATACTTGCAAACTAAAGAAAAACACAAAAAGGCTGGGCAGAGCTGGTACAAGCCTTTAACCAACACAGCCTTTAATCTCGGGTGGAGGCAGGCAGATCTTTGAGTTCAAGGCCAGCCTGGTCTACAGAGATCCAGGATAGCCAGGGATACACAGAGAAACCCTGTCTAGAAAAACAAAAAAGCCAAAATTTAAAACAAAAAGTTGTAATCAGTATAAACAAAATATTTCTGTCAAGATTTCTAAAGGAAAGAATGCCATTTTCCAAAGTATAAAGTCAGTTTAAATTCATTTAACTTATTAATAAAAACCAAATCAAACCAAACCACACAGAACCCAAACCAGAAGTTAATGCCGACTCACCTTCCTACCACCACTATACTACACCTCTGATAAATCACAGGAGGCTGACCTGTCACCTACTTGGCACATGCAAAATGAAACACAGTAATACATTTTATGCCAACACAGAAGAAACAAAAATCAATACACTACTTCACATAAAGTCACCTGGCTTCAATCTCAAACCATGCACCTCTGCAACTCTGAGAGCAGTTTCATGGGTCAAGATGACCTGGTCTGGTCTTGTCCTCTGAGACCACAGACCACCAGATGTTCTCAAGGGTCAGGAGTCAAGACAGACACTGGCAGGAAGAGTCAGGGTGAAGGAGGGAAAGAAACAGAACAGGACAGGACATCTGTGGAAAGGCTGCTGCTGGTGGCAGGGGAGGTGGGTGAGGTGAACAGACTTCTTTTAAAAGAAAGTGAAAGGTCCATGTTCATTAAGATGGCTGAACAAGTTGCAATGGCTGATATAAAATGCCAATGCTCAAGTCTCTAAGAAATCAATCCCACAATCCTCAAGCTCTCTTAGTTCCCTGTCTACTTACCCACAACCATGGCACATTTAAAGCTGTGATTAGGGGAAAGACAAGCAACAGACAGGGCCTTGAAATTCAAGAACAAAGTCTTAAGCTGGGCATTGTGGTGCATGCACAAGAATTCAAGGCCACAACCAGGCAGGCGGATCCCTGTGAGTTTGAGGATGGCCTGGTGTGTACAAAGCTGGTTCCAGAACAGTCAGGGCTGTCACGAAGAGAAAACCATTTTAAAAACAAAACCACCAGCAGAAGCAGACACCCACAGCTAAACCTTGAACTGAACTGAAATCCAGTTGCAGAGAAGGAGGACAGATGAGCATAGGGGTTCAAACCAGGCTAATGAAACCCACAGAAACAGCTGATCTGAACAAGGAAGAGCTCTTGGTCCCCAGACTGACTTATAGCTGGGAAACCAGCATGGGACTGATCCAGACACCCGAATGTGGATGTCAGTGAGGAGACCTTGGAAATCTATGGGGCCCCTCGTAGTGGATCAGTACTTATCCCTAGCATAGGAATGGACTTTGGGAGCCCATCCCACATGGAGGGATACTCCCTAAGTCTAGACACAAGGGGGTTGACCTAGGCCCTATCCCAAAGGATGTGACAGACTCACCCTCCCTGGGGAGCAGAAAGGATATGGAATAGGTAGGGTGTTAGTTGGCGAGGGCAGGGGAGGCAGAGGGACCTGGGATTAACATGTAAAATAATCTTCTGTCTAATAAAAAAAAGGAAAAAAAATCAAAACCAGGAAAACCAAACCAAACAAACAAAATTCAAGGCTAGCCTCAACTACATAGGGAGTTTAAGACTTATCTGCCTCAAAAAAAAAAAAAAAAAAAGGACTAAGTGGGGAGGGGGGTTGTAAGATGACTCAGCAGGTTAAGTCACCTGCTGTTAAACCTAATGACTGGATTTCAATCCCTGGGGCTCATTGTGAAAAGAATCAACTCCCACAAATTGTCCTTTAACCTCGACCTTTGCAGGGTCATGTACACACCCACACTCAAACACACACAATATAAATAAAAATGTACTGGGTGTTGGTGGCACACGCCTTCAATCCCTGCACTTGGGAGGCAGAGGCAGGCGGATCTCTGTGAGTTTGAGGCCAACCTGGTCTACAAGAGCTAGTTTCAGGATAGGCTCCAAAGCCACAGAGAAACCCTGTCTCGAGAAAAAAGAAAAAGAAAAAACCAAAACAAAAAACCAAAAAAACCATAAATAAATAAATAAATAAATAAAAATGTGGAAAAGAAAGTGTGTGCCTGAAATCCCAGCACCGGGGCAGAATGGGGCAGACAGGGTTGCCTTGTAGTTCAAGGCCTGGGCTACAACACCAAGAACTTTTGTCAACCAACCAACCAATCAACCCACCCACCCCAAACAAAACAAAAAAATCTAGGAAGGAAGTCTGGAGAAGTGACTTTAAAGGAGCAGTGGAGGAAGAGAGAACACTCAGCGGTGGAATGCCATTACTGCAGAGCTTCAGGAGACGACCTGACCAAAAAGGTCCCTCTTGCTAAAGACCAAGAGATGGAAGCCTAGGGTTAACCAATGTCTACCTATCTGGCCTGAGATTGGACTGGGCAGACTGGCACACACCTAAGCCCACGGGGGAGGGCGCCCAGAGCACACAGAGTTCAGTCTCACACTGAATGGGCCCCAGAGACCAAATGAGTGCACATGGCTCTCCTTCCCCCTTCTTGTACAGGACCCGAGGAGGCCAGAGCCCGTGGCCCCCACACACCAG